CATTTAGTGGGCGTGGCTGCATTTTGTATTATTTTAAAAGATACGTGGAAATTTTTATTGTACAGTTTATGTATAATAAGCGAAAACTTTTAAAAGGTGAAGTGTTCTAAATTTATATCGTGTTCTCAGACGTCTACGCAAACGGACGTAACGATAGACGAACATGCTTAAATTCATACAGAATTTTATGACGGACAAGAACATATAAACTGTGAACTTTAAAATTTTTTCTGTAGGGAAAAAATGACCAAGGTGCCAATAGGTTAATTGACCACATTCGAAATATGTCAGCTGATTTAAATCAGATGTGGCAGCTCTCCCCTAACCCATTTAGTTTCTTACTGGAATGAATAACATAGACAACTCCGTCTCTGCAATTTTTGTTAATAATATATACAAGAAAAGACAACAATCCGTAAGAACAACCTAAACCACGCTAAATATATATTACACAGTCACCTCTTAGTGCGAGAAGAAACCGAGTCCTGCGACTCTGGTACTCACAATACGTTATAGGATCTCTGAAGTTTCCTCGTCCTGCCCCCCTTTGTCGATGATGGATATAAAAATGCCCTGTGTATCGAATTATTGAACGCCCAAATAACCATCTGCATATGTAGCTGTTATTAGTCGGATATGACCGTGGTCCGTTCGTCCGGCATGACTAGTAGATGATGAAACATCTCCAAACAAACATTCATTTCGATATATACGAATTCACGTATTTTTATCAATGTTTTTCTTGGTTTGTATAGATGAATGAATTACGCCTATCGACGATAAGACTGATATAATATCTAGAAGCATGATAAGTTCTTATTATTATTATTATTCTATTTAGTCTAAGCATTTATTTCGCACACAATTCGCACCTATATCGACAAACTGTTCCCTTTTTTTATGCACACCATAAATAAATGAATGAATAAATGATAAATCATTCTTTTGAACTAAGAATTCTGTGTTAGTTTACTTTAAATTTTTGTTATACCAAGTTGATGAATTATCCAAAAAATTTGTTTTGCTTCTTATTCATTTCATTTGAGCAAATTAAAAAAGAATACTTGAAATGTTTTTGCTGATAAAATTCTTCTATTGGCCAATATTTCCGTTATCCTTCACAACTCGTTTATATTTAATGCTTTTTGTCTGGATTAAACATACAATAAAACGTTTTTTCCCCCTACCTTTTTGGTTTTTTCTTCTTTTTTTTTTTTTTTTTTTTTTTATTCACATGTATTTTTTTTTTTTTTTTTAATTTTTTCTAAAATGATATTTTTTTAATTTTCAAATAACACAAAGAGACATTTGACATGCTCTTCCTGATATATAAACACACACCTATGTACGTGTATATTTGTATAATATACTCTAACAGCAAACACATTTAGAAAACGAAAGCAAGAAAAAAAAAAAAAAGAAGAAAATTTCCTCAAATTGTATTGTTTATTGTAGTAGCTGTGTGCGAGTGTGTTTTTCTGCATAGGAATACCATACGTTTACTCCGATGACCGTTGACAATTGAAACTTTTGACATTTCACTAAAGCGACAGTTTTCACAGGAAAAAGACAAAACAGAACACAATACCAACACCGCAAACACTAGCCAACCGACAACAACAACAGCAACGACAACAACAATAACAATAATAATAATAACAACAAAATTAAGTATAACAAGCACAGACAAGCATTGCAAAGAATTACTATATCATATCATAACATTTCTGCATGGAGGAGTATAGAGACCGAAGAAGAAAACTAATTTAAAAAGTACGATGAATGGGCGGTGGCGGTAGTGGTATGGGTTTTGTGTACGAGTGTGGGCAAGTTTTTAATTCTTGTTTTTTGTTTTTTTTCTCTCATTTATTTCCGTAAGAAAATTTCACTAGATGACAGTGATAATAACAGAAATAATACCCGTAACAACAACAACAATAAAAACAGGACCATGCACATCATCACAACAGTATTAGCAGTGATAGTGGAAAAGTGTTGCAAGCATTTATTTATTTTATTTTATTTTCTTTTTTTTCGTACCAGAAAAGATTGTTTGGCTTTAGCTTTGGCTTTTGTTAATGCAATTGCTTTAAAAGTTAGCTTTATTATCCCTCGTACTGTCTTTATCTTTATATTCTTTCATGTTTAGTTTCCTGTAAAAACATTTTTCTGAAGACATAATAAATGAAAAAAAGCAAAAAAAAAAAAAAAAGTATACCAGAGGACTTAAAAAAAAAACGTTCCGCCGACACCATATTCTTGCTTAAGAAATTACTTACAGACGCCATTTTTTTTTTTTTTTTTTTTCTGCCCTTATAAGGGTGAGGGTGCTTTTCAGTGTTGTAATAGAGTGGTAGTAGATTTTTTTTTACTTATCTGTGCTTTACAGCAAACATTTTTGCATAGACTTCGCCTGTGCGGCGTGTAATGTTTGTTGTTGTCACTGTGTGTCCTTGTGTCGGTCCTATTTTTTTATTTTTTTTTCATAAAATTTGCTTTTCGGCTTTTCTGCAACAACACACAGCTTGGTGACCTCACAAACGTCATTTCAACAATCTCCTCATAAGTTAAGGCTCCATAATTTTTTCTTGGAATTTTTTTTTTTGTATTCAAATTTGTTTCTTCCTTCCCTCTACCGCTCTTCACAAGTTAAAGTTTTCCTTAAACATCACTTAAAGTTTTTTCTATGCTGATTCTTTTCGGTTCTATATCTATTTTCTTCACTGCTTTTATATATATTTACTATGGCGCTCTCTTGCGACGTGTGCAGCATTTTACCTCCACTTGAGCGTGAGTTTAAAGCAGCTTTTGTTGTTCAAATAAGGGTCAACAACTTTTTGCTATTGTGTAAGTTCTTCAACCGCTATTCAGCTTTTCTTCAATTTTTTTTTCGTTTTTTCCCCGACTCATCTCATTTCGTACGTACATGTATCAAAAGCCGCAGCGTGCCAAACGGGTATGCTTGGCAACACTTTGATGTGTTTGTTTCGCTTGTTTTTTTTTTGTTTCTCTTTTTTTTTTTTTTTTTGTATTTTATTATTGTTTCTTTTTCCATTTTTTTGTTATCTTTAAAATATCTCAAAAAGTATTCTCATATTTAAAGAGTTCTTCAAACGAAAAATCTTGTAAATTACAATTTGTGCATATCATCTTCTTCAAGTAATCAATATGCTGAACGATTGAGTTCAAAGCATTGTCGCGATTGTTGGAACCATGCCTTATTTAAAACTTCTAATGAAATCTTTTCGATACAAAAAAATGTGCAGAACGCGATGCTTTTAAGAAAAATAGTAACCATTTGAACAAAACATGGAGATCGATTTGCAATTTTGTCATCTGCACTAAAAACATATATGTGCGCAGGCAGGAAATTGACGGTCTTCAATATTTATATTGAAAATAATGAAAAACATTTTAAAGAGGACCGTAATAACGAATTCTATCACTCATAGGTCGTAGAAATGCTCGACTGGCTGTGTGTGTTCAAATAGATGAGTCATCCAGAATTCGTGATTTACTTACATTTTTACTCAAGGTCGATTTCTTCAGGTTGCACCAGAATTTATCGTTTACTTAGATTTTTATTCAAAGAATTCGTTTAACAACTAAGAGCTTACAAATTATATTGAGCTCATTTACCAAAGATAAAATACGTGCACCAATCTAATTTATACGGGAGACAAGATTCGCTTGGATACTTCGTATGCTCAGTTTCACGCATGAAGATGAGAACATGCGAACAGTTAAAAAAAACTTCGCGTACATCAAATAAGTATTCTGTGTAGAATATTTGTTACAAGTAGCTTAATAATCGATATATATACCTTCACTATTAACAGTTCTTTGCCTCTTATCGGACAGCTTGCGAATGCCTTCACAAATATTTCGAAGTAGTCAACGACGCATATTTGCATATCTTCGATTTTATTGAGTTGCTGAGCTGCTACATATCATTGCAGCGGTCCAAACTGGCAGTAATTAGAAGGGAAGTGGTCTGAAGAATAATGACATAATACGGAGTCCAAGTTGAAGGACACTTGTTGGGTTGTCTTCCTTTCAAATGTTTTGTGCATGAAATCTCCCAAATCACATTCTACCGCATTTTCACTTCGCCTCATTTTCATAATTTCTGTAGATTTAGTTGCATCTGCTTCTGTCTCTTTACACTTTGTTATAAACCGAATATATCGTGCAAGCGTGAATGTCAAAGTTATCTATCCCTGATGTTTCGGAAGAGATAAAGGCGCCACGTAGTAGATTGTAAAGCAGCCAAACTCAATGCGGAGAACTTATTTGTACGGCTGTAACTAATATTTGACGGCATCGAAATCGAAATTTTTACACAACTATGCTATCTGAGAATCGTTCCAGTCTCTCTGCTTGTCTGCGAACAATTAATCAAAGCCTATTTGATATGTTGATTAGCTAAGATTCGAGGCGAGGTGAACATCGTTTCTTGCTTGTTAAAAAGACCGCTAAAGGAGACAGCAAGAGTGGACTTCTCGTTCCTATTGCAATAGTCGGAAATGCTTTTGACCAACCTATAAAGGAATAATATGTACAGCAATTTTCATTTGTCCGGATGTTTACTCGTTAATCACCTCTTGGTCTCAATTGAGTGGACTTGTCCATGACTAGCAAAAAAAAAAAAAGTATATTTTTCAGGTACTATGTCTTTAAGACTTAACTAAGACTTCCATAATGCACACATAATCTTCTTATTTGTTTTATTTAATAAAATTTTATGAAAAAAATATTTATATGAAAATTTTTCCTGCTTCGAATTATTAAAAAAAAAAAAAAAGACACTTATTTTTGTTGTTGCTGTAAATTGCGTCTCATGAATTTTTTGTGTTCTTTTTCCTTTTTTGCTTTTGCAGAGGGAAATCAAGTCACGTGCATAAGATTTTGTAACAATTACGTTTTGAAAAGGAAAGAAAGCAAAACCCCCTCATACCAGCAAGAAACATATATGAAACTAAGCTTAAATTCGTAACATGAACAGCAATTGAAAAACATCAAGCAGTGAAACCATCAGACAACAAAAACAGCAGCATAACCAAGCATAGCTGGGTGAGTTATTTTTAGATTATTGCATAGAACTGAATTTTTTTTTTTCAAGTACAACATATGTGAATAAATACAAACATGAAAATGCATAAATGCACGTACAAATTATATACGTATGTGTGAAAACATATGAATGCAAAGGGTGAAGTGGTAACAATAGGGAAAATACTCAAAGTAATATTATTCCAATATCGCTGGCATCGATGGATATATATATATATATGTTAATTGTGTAATTCCGTAAGGAAGATAACTAAAAGGATATTCATGAAGTAAAACGTATCACTCGATAAGTTCGTGGGATGACTATTGATTAAATCCATTAGCGATACTATACGCGAAATTTAAAATTTCTCCTTTGTTTAAAACTAATCATCGGAATGTCATGTAGTTTTGTTGCACACCATTTAAGTATCTATATATTATCCTATGTACTTATTGAGTGATATATTACATATTTCTGATCATTATGCCGGGAAATCCAATAATCATCGATAATATCGAATCTAATATTCGCAATAAGATTGTAATTGAACGAAATTGAACGAGCGATGTGCAAATGACTCCAGTTACATACGCGTAGCAATAGCACTCCCTTATTACAATGGCGACGGGAACCAGTCAGTTAGCATAAGAAAGCCAATAGTTTAACTTCTTTGGCTCGTCGAAATATTTACACCAGAATGAATCCTTTTTTAATACAAAAACAATATACGTCTGTGGTCTGAAACAAATATTATATAAGCCGTTCCTAATTGTTGTCTTATATTTTGTATTAAGCCGAAGTAATGATAAGAGCAAGAAGAAGAAAAAAAGAAATCCTTTTCCAAACAATAAGAATAATTGTAAAAAAACAAAAATCCATAGGCAGGCAAACAATACTCGAACACTTACGAAGTTGAACAAAAATATTATTTTCTAAATTCGCACTCCGGTCGGTTTGTTTTTGTTATGTTAGCAGCAAAATCCAAGAAAAAAAAAAAAAATTCATTTTTTCAAAGACCTTATCTCTCATACTCCCGGCTTACATACACTCGGTGTAGGTTTATTTGTATATTTGTCTACCACTAAATCTATGACATACAAATCTCTTTTAAAGCAAAACTAAGATAAATGACAAAATTTATTGATTTTCTGTTTTATTTCAAGTGTAAGGATTTTTTCAGGTTGTTTTACGTTCTTTTTTTCCTCCTCCTTTCTTCGAATTTCTATTTTTTTTTTTTATTTTTTTTTTTGTTATTACCCTGGACGCCTTCTTTCTTTTCATTCTTTTGTGTATTGTTTTGCTCTCAAAAGGATTTGAGTCTTCCTTCCCCCCCCACCCTTGATGTACAAATATATATAGAAAATATTTCTGTTTTATGTCTTCTCTTGTCCTATACATACGTATCTGTATTTGTATTCCTATTTACTGTGTTAAAGCGTTGAAGCAAAACAGCTGATGTTCCCTTTTACAGTATATGGGTTTGGTGCATAATGTAACCACATAGATGCTTGGTGTGTTGCAAATTGGAACGTGCATGAATATGTATTTCAAGCATGCATTTTTTTTTTTTTTTTTTCTTGAAACCTTTAAGAATTATGTTAACATATTATTTTCGCTTACAATTGCCGTACACGGATAAGACATCAGTGGTCGTAATAAGAAAATTGCATCGGAAAGTCCTACGGCTTACACTGAAAATGAAAGGTGTTCATTATGCCCTCGGTGTCACTTATTTGTTTTTAATGTTTTAATTAATGACTTGCTTCGGTGTTGATAATTTAATAAATTAATTTTAGTGATTGATATTTGCCTCAACATATACTCACTTATGCCAAGTGGGCTTTTTAGAAAACCGCATTTTTGAGCGCCTAGACATCTAAAAAGAGTTTTTAACAGCATTGTCCTTAGGTGGGTAGAGAAAAACACGCTGATACCGACGTCGGTGCGCATGGGTGCTAATCTCAGTGCGGTACTTGATCTTGGCTATAGTGAGTGGCCGAGTGAGTCGGTAAAAGTATAACACATAACGATTGAGCTCACACCCACTAAACTGGGGTCATCTCTTTATTAAGCGACATCCTCTGAGTGAATGCTCATATTAAGACAGGCAGAGAAACAAATTTGCTAAAAGATGCTCTTTTTCTTCATGCCTATGGAAAGAAGTCCTTCAGATTTATCGGTAAACAATCTATCCACACTTTTATCATTTTGGCATTAATAGTCAACAACTTCAAAGACATAACCTCACCTTTTGGAAGTGTAACTCAAGCAAGTTTCTTTAATTTGGGTCTTAAGTGTATGCCTTGTATACTTAGAAGTATTCTACATCACTGTCTCAAACTTTCTAAGCAATTCAGCATAACTTCTTCGATGACTTCACTCTATACAATAAACAAATTATTCAACTGAGGGTAGTTTTTTTTTCTTTTTTTATTTTTTTTTGAACATGTAGCGCTACTGATGCTACTGTGCGGCGTTTGGTTTTTCTCCTTGCTTTGATTTATTTCGGTTTTTTACTGTTGTGTTGTTGGTCTTGCTTTCTGTAAAGAAAACTGTTTTTCCTCCACTGTTTCCGGTTATGTGGTATAGCAGGGCCTTTGAGGGTTACATAGCAACCTATGGTATGTGTATGGTATGCGTACATAAATTGCTGGCAATCTCCATTTGTGGTCTTTGTTTATGATTTATTTAACTGAGCGCACACGTACGCATACACAACTACGGTCTGTTTACATATGCAATAGTCTAAGTTTTTACTAAAAATATGTATACACAGTTTACGCATTGATATGTTATATATGTGTATATATATTTATGTTTGGCATGATATATGTAAATGTAAACCTTTCATAAACAAACAAAAACTTGTAAAGATCTCTCTTTGACTTCATTAACCTTAAAAATTATTATGTTAGTGCGGATATGTGTATGGTCCGATGTTTATTTAAAATTCGATTTTTTATTAAAACAAACGAAATCATCGTCTCTTTGTATAGAAAGAAATATATTGTGAGATCTTTGCCTTTAAGTAACGATGAAATGTTTACGTTAAACATATTTTTTGTCTTTTATTTATTTATTATTATGAACAAATATCATCGCATTACCTCATGGGTTATTTAATGATGGCTTCGTTTTTACGTACAACAATAAAATGACATGAATAAATTTACTTATAATTAGATATAATTGGATAAATTAAAGCAAAAAGGAAAAGTTAAAGAAAAAGAGCAGAAAACTGGAAAAAAGGAAAGGCCAAAGACAAAGAATAAACAAAAGAAGAAAAACCAATTATTTAATTAAAATAAATTGAAATGAAAGTACAAATAAGAAGAAGAACTAACGGTGGCCGTGGCTCACCCTACAGCGCCGTGACCTCACTTGGCTTGATACAATTAGTTATGTAACGGTTTTTCAAACTAAAATGTTATATGGAATGAAGTCGAAATAGTGGTCTGATCCGAGTCATTTTCAACAGAATTTGTCCTTGGGCCAAAACCCGTTAATGTAACAAATTTCATCAAAATATCGCGAAAATTGGGTCCCGTAAATTGAACACAGAAACGCGTGACTGGCAGAGACACAGACGATATGGAGATGGGACTATCCCAAGCCCTTGTAGACGTTGCATGCATCTGGACAAAAGCTCGTGCCAAAAATGGTGTAGCGTATGGCAAAACAAGAAAATCAAAAAGAGAAAAGAAACGAATGTCATTTTTATTATTGAAAATTACTTAGACCATCAACAGCAACTCAATGCTGTAGTGTTACTGATTACCCCTCTCAGCGACTTTATCAAATGATTAATCTAACCATTTCAGTGAACTCTTTTCCTACAAATTGTGAAAGGATTGGAAGCCTTTCAACATAGCATGAAGCGCGGGAATAAATCGATTTATCAAAGACAAAGCTCAACGCCTTTAACGAAAAATCTATCTAATCTGTCCATTAAAAGTAAAGGGCTTTCAATAACATTATGTCTGACAATTAGGAAAAATTTTCGTTTTTAATACAAGTGGGCCTTAAGCGATCTGCTTATGCCAAACTCTATATATATTCACTGTAATCTCAGTGGCGGATGCTAAACAAGATTCGAGGATTGTTTTAGATACTCAGCGATTTTTAATACATTTAAAGCTATTACCTTAAAAAGAATGCAAATTTTAATATAAATAATTTTAGCATTTTTGTATCATACTTCACAGTAAGTTTTATGCAAAAAATTAATTAAATATTTTTGAATTAATTTATTATATTTCAATTTTAATTTGCTGCATATTTTCTCTAACTACATAAATATTCAAATAATGTTCGCTTGAATAGAAAATAATTACAAGAATGCTTTAAGCAAATACAGTACTTTTTAATTAACTTTATCTCTCTCCCTCTCTCTCTCTCTCTCTCCATCTTTATGAAGCTAAAGAGAACGTTGCTTTAAATCGCCCATTGCATAAAATCGTACAAGAATTACAAAGGAGATCATGCCTCAATTCTCATAGTTTATATGCTGCAATCTAACGACAAGTAAATAATCTCAATGACTTACTTGCATTGAGTTTTGAGCTTTCTTTACTTAATAAGGCCTTCAATGCTGTTGTCTTCGTCATCTGTTAAAGGAAAAATTCTGTAGTAGAACTCGATTTTGATGTCTATGCTTTATTTATTTATTTATTTTTTATTTTTTTTTTTCTTCTCTCCTCGTATGGTATGGTATCAGCAATTAAAATGATGTCTGAGTTGTACTGACAACATAATCAAAAAGAAATTTAATTATACCTGTATCCACTCATACGTGAGGTATGCAAACATGTACATACATAGAACAGTGGTAGAAGTATTAAGAGTTTTGCAAATTTAATCATTCAAAGCAATTTTTCATTCCTCTGAATTCGTAGCTTCTAAATTCTCAGCAAAAAATAGTAAAAAAAATAGAAAAAAAGTTCACAAAAATCTCGTATAAATTGTTGAAAATATTATTTATATTTTTGTTGTTGCCGTTGTTTTATTTCTATTTTTT